GGAGATCGTCTCAAAGTACTAAATATTAAATAACTTAAACAATGATATCAAGATTGTTATAAGAAGATCGATTCTTCTTTTCAAGAAACATTTCAAGAACTTAATCAATTTGTTAATGAAAAAGTTGACCAACATCGGAAAGAACTCATGCGAGCACTCGTGAAGATAAATGAACTGATCAATACACAAGAAACAACTCGTCATGATATTGATTTATTGACAGCAACTATTTACCAACGAAAAAAAAAATATGAATAACATCGTACAAATATGTTTTATGATCAATACTCGTTCATTATCAATAGATGACACATTCATTTTTGCTAAGAAAATGACCTAACAACAGTTCAATCTGTTAACTCTTTTGCATGTCTACACAGCAATAGCTAGTCCTGAAGGAAGTTTTCGATCATCAGTCAGCAATGGTCGATACTTATTGATACATCAAGAGCCAAATTAATATTTATTTGATCGACACATGAACATTGTCAAACAAATGTTATGGCATTACGATGCATTTCAGAATATATGTTGGTGATCAACATTACATCGATTCATTGTGCTTTGAAAACAATGACATTTTTCTTATTAACGAAAATACAATGTCCATTGATAATGTGCAGATAATTGAAAAACGAGAGTTGATATCGTGCACATGTTTTGCTGCAGTTCTCTTTGCAAGCAAAAATAAAGTTGCTTCATCTATTATTGGAATTCACACTATTTCCAGCAATTGAATTGATTAGGGGGGAATGAAAATATCCTCTTACATGTGCTACAGATGAGATTATCAATGATATTGCTGCTAATAATGGAAACCTTACTCTGATGTTTGTGAATACATTTGAGAAATCGCTCTGAATTGACTTAAGATATGTAAAGACATTCGATTGCATCTGGAAACCTCAAGTTGATATCAGATGCAGTCGAAGCTAGTGTTTTGTTCTTGTTCACTGACTTTTAATGAATGGCTTATTGTTGACTATAAGACTAGACCTCTGCTTCATATTACCAAAGACGAGAGAATAAAGAAAACAATTCAATATCATTCGACTGCGTACCTTGGCGTTTTGTTCGATCTAAATAAGATAGCTTTATCGATTGAAAGTGATGTTAGATTGCATACAATTCAATAAAATGAACGATTGATTTCATTTAATAGTTTGTTTTATTTTTTCAATAAAAAACTCGAAATAAAAATAATTAAGGATAAAAAATATCTGAAAAATAAAATTATTTTTTAATTAAGATAAATTCATTTGTTGCTCAAGTAATAAACGACTCATTTGAATAAATGTTGGTTCTGCCATGGCTGCTGATTCGTCTGATTCATCGTTCACCACTGGCGAAAATTAAATTCAACAACTATGAAAATATTTCTATATTCATAAATTTTTACTGTAGAGATAAATCTTATAAAATCTTGAATATATATTGATTCTAGCAAAGAGCCGTTTCGAGTTGCAAGAGTATTTACTACAACTCCAGGATTTGTTTTATTCGAAAAGTTTATTCAAAGCAAAATCTTTGACAAAAAAAAAACGAAATATATTTTTCTACTTATTTGCTTATGTTGTTAATGTTCGGAATGAAACAATAAAAACTGCACAGATATCTTTACTACCATAATATGTTATAGAAAATGATGAAGCACATACTGAATGGATTTCCTTAGAAAATAAAAATGTACTTAGACATTTTCGTGTAACAATATCGAATATCTAAAATTCAAAGTTTAAATACTTTCGAGAAAAGCAATAGAGATTATGATAACATACTTGAACACTAAGATCACTTGAAATAGTTAAAAATTAAATGAAGTTTTGCATTTAATATTTGACAAAAAATCATGGATTGGACTTGTAATGATCTTGAAATCATTTTTTGGCAATATATTCAGATTTTGATCAGGATTTATTCTTTAGCAAAGAAAGAGAAATAGTTTTTCTATATAAAAAAATTCGAGTTTTATGTTTTACTTTTCAATATTGAATCGATGAATAAATTTATGTTCACCAACGGATATTAAAAAACATTGATCTTCATAAAATAATAAAATGATTTATTGCTTGGGTATGTGCTAAAAATATTGTTAAATGTTGACGATTAATAAGACTAAATAAGAAATTCAAATTATATATATATTTTTTTTTATTATTTTAGTGTATAAAGAAATATTTTATTATCTATTACATAATCAAAAATAGTTAAATCACAAATAAATATGATTACACTAAAATATCCTACAGATGTTATCTTTTTATAATCTCAATTTTATAAATAAATGTCAATAAATTAAATTGATTATGCATTAATTAGAATCGTACATGACTATTTTATTTCGAAACATAAATTGAAGGACGATCAATATCAACAGCATAGATATAATTGCCAAAGCATAAGAGACCTTGATATGCAATAGATGTATCACATTTCAACATAAAAAGAACATTAACATAAAGTTATGTAAGAATCGTGTTTGATTTGTATGCAGCTCAATCGAATTCATGCTTGTACTTTATGAATATATCAATAATAGATATATCACTGATTCGATAACAATTCATGAATGGCAAGAGTTATCGAGTTTGAAGTTTTACTCTTTTATAGTACATTTCGAAAGGTACAATAAAATACTGTATAGTTTCAAAACTTTAGGAAGACATGCTAGTTGAGACTTGCTAAGGTGAATTGTTCTTAGATAATGATGTTGTACCTTTTTGACTTGAATTTGGTTAATTTCTGTAAGAAAAATACAACTGAAGCCAAAACTGATATTTTATTTCGGAGGAGCCTGGACACTTGATGCATTTCGTACGTTCTAAATATTTTTCAGGTCATTATCTATTGAAAAAACTTGCGAGTGTGGCTCCATGAGAAGTTAATTTACAAACTCTGACTTTTATAAATTTATGGTATACTGTCAGAGAGGTTAAAATGATTTACTTCTTAAGATACTTATTAAATGAATAAATCAAAATGATAAAAATTTCTTTTAGTTGATACGAACATTCTGAAATTTTATCATTTGGAAAATGTTTGCATTTCGAGTTCCTATTCTATCGATTTATTAGATTTATTCAATATCTTTGAATTGAAAAAACTTATTTTTATTGTCGACTACATCGTCAATACATAACTTCTTTTCTCTTAATGATAACATATACGATAAATCCTATACGAAGCGGCAAATATCATTTTATTCTTTGTTTTCTCGACTCAACTACAATATTTTACCTGCTATATACATTGATTTTATCGTTCAGTAAACTTTCGAGCACACTATTGTTTTTCTTGACGAATTGCGACGTACACAGATGTTTGCGAAAAAAAGTTTGCAAACAATTTTTTCGTAATCTCAAGATCTTTTTTCTATCGTCTGAAGGCAGTATAAATGTCATTTTTTTAGGACTAACTCTTCGAAAGTTTTACTAAATAACGATCATTAAGAAGGACGACTTCTCTTGTTTTAGCATATGTTCATATGACTTTCGTTTCCATCGAAAAGTTTAACATATATTAATTTTGTACTATTGATACAAAGTCGTAAGATTTAGTTAGGCTACCACAATAATATATATGTTAAACTTGAAACTTGAATTCAAGTATTCAATTATTGAAACTTGAATACTTGAAACAACTTTTCAATAATTGAATTCAAGTTTCAAGTTTGACACTACTGATTTTCGTGAAACTTAGATATATTTTCGAAAAGAATATAGTGAGTGTAAGTTTTCATCGAGGTCTTTTAGGCTCATTTCACCCTTATCCGATGCGCTCTAGTAACTGGAAGGTGCGGAGGAGGTGATGGAGAAAGGGTGCCAGTAACCATTGGACATAGGGATGAATTGGTTTAACATGGGATCTCGATGTTTGTCTGGTTGTTGTTGGGTGTGATTGTTGACGAGTGTGATTATGGGTATGGTCGAGTGTGATCCTGAGTGTGTGCTGTTCTAACGTATTAATGTTTGTGTGACTGTTCTTGTGAGTGAGAGCATGCAGCTCAGGGTATGGGTGTGCATGATTCTGCAGACTAGTGAGTCTATCGTTTGCGCTGGTTAAAAATGCCTGTGGTTGTTGCTGTACATAGATATGTGGTTCATCAAAATTTATACCCACGCTTTAACCCATGTCTATACACATTCCACACACAAACCCACACCACTCTGAGCCCACATCCACACTCATATTTGTGACGGCTTTGATAGGAGAAGTATTAATTCTAATGGAGTTACGTTTTATTATTTATTTTAACCATATCGAAATGACATACCTGACACATAAAAACGCTTGTTCTTACATATTGCACAAGCAGAACAGAAAATAGGAGAAGGAGGGAGAAGAACAAGTAATGTGGAGAAGAGGGTGATATTTATCAAAGTGTAACTATATATCGATGTCATCACAGTGAATGATAAACATAATTCACTATACATTGTTGCACAAGAGAGATGGGCAAAGTAAGTTGCCACAAGAGATGACGAGACCAGGTCAAACATAAGACAAGGACAGACTGAACGTATAATAATAACAGTTTAAACATTATGTGGGAATAGTCAACTCGATAATAAGTGAGAGCAGATAATGATGCAAAATTAGGACAACCCGAAACATTACGATGCTCATCCACTCATATCTACATGTACAGATCTAAACATGTTCAAGTTTTTTATAGTTCATTTATTGTTTATTGTACTTGTATTTTAGAACTTTCTTCATTTGTTTCTGCTCTCACAGAGCGTAGGTAGTTATAACTGATCTGATAAAGAAATTAAACTTTCATGATTTTATCAATTATTCAATCAATGAAAAACAAATTTATTTGGATTTTACTATTCATTTTTGTAAACATTGTTATTACTTTGTATCATTTTGAAATAAAATCCATATCAAAGAGTGCTTTTTTTTTCAATCATACATTATTTTCAACAACTTCACCGCCTCCAAAAATCCCATGTATCGTATACGTAAAAGATCGTGCAGGTCGTCTTGGTAATCGAATGTTTATTATTGCTAGCGCTTACGGTCTGTCTCGTCTACACTCTTGTCATTTGTATTTGACACCAGAAATTATCGATGAAATGAAAGAAGTTTTCATTTTGGATCTTTCTCCTCTTCTTATTTCTTCAACAATGTTCAACTCAGTCGTGTACAATATTTCGAAACCAATTCCTATAATAGTAAAATCTGCTGGCTGCGAATATATACCTGAATTAACACGACCACATGCACTTTCATCTGGATATGTTTTTGAATTGCAGGGTTATTGGCAATCATATCTTCATTTCTCTAAATATAGTGATGATATTCGAGAACGAATCTTTGCCGGAAAAAAATCAGTACTTGAGAAAGTCTCAAAATTATTCGCTGATCTTTATGAAAAAATGTTTGGCTTGAAATGTCAGTTTTCATTAGAAAATCATCAGTCATTCAAAAAACAATTAATGAATTCAAACTTAACAACATGGATTGGTATTCATGTACGTCGTACAGATTTTGTTTCTATAAATTTCTCTTCATCAAATGAATATTTATTTACTGCTATCAAATATTACACTTCATATTATTCAAATGTTCATTTCATAGTCGCTAGCGATGATAAACCTTATTGTGAAAATCTATTTCGTAATCGATCAAATATTTCCATTACACCACAATCATTTTCTATGGGTGATGATCTAATAACACTTTCACTCTGTGAACATTCAATCATTACTGGTGGAACATTTGGATGGTGGGCAGGTTATCTTGCTAATGGTCAAGTTCTCCATGATAAAATATACCCATCTGGATGCGGAAGACGCGAACAATACTATCCACCATGGTATCTCATAGATGGGAAAGTACGAGCATATAGACAAGGCAACTATACTCTGTAATAAAAAATACAAAAGAGAAAAGCAGTCAGATTGTAGTCAATCGAGCGTATGTGATTGTGCTTGGGTATCCATTGGATTTGAATTTGATTGATCATGAGTAAAAGTCTGGGAGCGGGAAGGGGGTGGAGCAGAATGGACAACAAAGCGACGATATTAACTTTTGAGATTTGAAAACAAATCATAGATAACATTAAAGATATTACGCTTCTCCGTTTAACTGTAGCTTGGATTCTGACTGAAATAGAGTATTCATAACACAGCAGTTTAGTAAGATAGGAAAATCATATATAAATATCATGAAAAGCACTAAATAAGAATAGTTTCTGGTTTTGATTCATAATGTAGTTAGAACCAACTATTGTTATACTGTTATATGATAATACAAGAAAATTATACTTAACAAAACGAAACCTAATTGCTACTAAATAATATAATGTTGTCGCAGGATCATGCGAAAAGTTTTAATACAGTTTTAATTTACTATTCACTACAGCGTATCATCACCTACTTTTGGTGTCTGCAAAAAAATACGGATGTAAGCTCTTATTCAGTTACATAGTTCTAAATATAATATTCGATTCAAATCTGTTCAGAGTGATTTGTATAATATTTCCTTGTCTTCAAAATAAATTAAGTTTCCAATAGGCAATAAAAGTTCAAGCTGATGCATTTTTAGATTTTTACATCGATGGTTTCATTCTAAACATAATCCATAGATAGTTTTCAATTTTGGAATAATTATCGAGAAATATTAATAAACTCATGAAAAAATCTCCCCAAGTACTAAATCGTTTCTGGATCGAGATTATGTTCATTTGATGAGTGCTAGTGAATGTTCAAAAACTTCAGAATGATCTGATTTTTCAGGCTTTCGTTCTTATGATATCGTATTGTTACTGAATTTTTCAACAAAATCTTGTAGTCTCCAGAAGGTCATGTTAAAAGTTTACTTTTGAGTTTTGACTTGAAAAATTCGCATAGATAATGTTCTTAATGTGACTAGTTCATTGTGAGTGTTTGATCTTTTTTCGTTGCTTCTATCGTCAAATACGAATATAAGTACAAAATTTCCTTTTTTCACACAAGAGAATTTAAAATATGCATATCTCGTGACAAAAGCAACGAAATAAGTTCAAACTTTCATGATGGGCTAGTTACATTGAGAATGTTATCTATATAAATTTTCAAGTCGAAAATCAGAAGTGAACTTTCAAGTTGACCTGCTGGAGACTAGGAGGTTTTGTTGAAAATTTCAGTGAAAATCTATTTTTCAGAAATCTTACAAATAAAAGAAGCTGTAGATATGCATAAATAATCAGCATTAAGTACGAAGCTTAACTACACAAAATACTAAGTTACTAGCTACCGTCAATGTAGAAATTGCTCCTAGTCGTTTTTTCTATCCCTTGCGGGCGAAAGACAGGATTCGAAATCTTAGAAATCCATCTTTTTCCTCTTGGAAAGAAAAATTGTCTATTTTCCTAAGATGATGTTTTTGGCGAATGATTTTTATTAGAGATGCTGCCTTCATTGAATACTTGCTAGGATATGTGAATTGATGCTACTTTCTACACTGATTTGAGATATATTATTGACGTTTTCGTAGAAATATCAAGTGTCACTTACTGTGTGATCTTTCATCTTGTGCTACTTCTTTTATCGAAGTTCATTATGAAACTAACAGGTTGCTCGGACAGTTCGAGCAACTCATATACTGCTAAATTGCAAGATAACAATTATTGAATTTATTGAATCTTCTTACCTTTAGTAGCAGCCATATACTAGTAGCGATCACACAAACTCCTTTTGCCTTTAGATAAAAATTCCAGATAAAAAGCAGCCAAGTGGTTATCAATAGGTGTTATCGGTATTATCTAATGAATCGACCGGGTAATTAATTGAAACAAGTCTGCCTAGCGAAGAACAGCTTGGACAACGTTAAACTTGTGAAAGGGTGCATTCTCATGAAGACGCAACTACACATCGCTGATTTTACTGTGACTTTTCTTCAAGATGGCAGATCAATGTTGTTGTTCAATGAATGATATATAATAGGAATCATTGATGGAGTTTTCATGAGTAAGGTAGTCAGTGAGCAGAACGTCATCTTTCTCCCAGAAAATAGCCATCGTACTATTTCGAGCTGATAGATACTGACGAGGCCGAGTAATTGTGTTTTCTTCTGGCTTCTTCATGATCTTGGCTTCCATATGACTGAGACGAATCTAGTGACGAATCCATGATAATTCGAATAATGTGTTGAAGGAATATTGGATGAATCGATGGGTATCCAAACACTTTTTTAGGGAAGGATTTTTTTATGAAATTTGATTTGCTGGTTCGATGGAAGATTGATAGAAAATAACTTTGGCCAAAAAAAAAGTTGTCATTTCTGTCGAAAATATTGGAGTTTTAAATCGTTTTCTAATTAAGAACATCGAAGAAGTGTTATATATAGTTGGCGACAAAAATTGAATCGAATTTGTTTTTTCGATTTTTCTTACATTTCTGTTTGCAAATTGCCTTTCACATTATTAACTAATACGAGCCTGATTGAAATAGTGGCATAGATAGTATGAGACGTTAGCTACATGATACCATATAAAAGGAGGAAGCTCTATCTGTCTATATAGATTTTCCATCCTGGAAATGATTTTTCCATGCAAACTAGATTTAAATGCTTTTCATTATTTCGCATTTCTCAACGAAGAGATTTCCGCTAAAATGAAAACAAAACAGAGCAATCGATAGATAATTTCATGCTCTATCTGTTTGTGGAGAGACGATTTCTTCCCGAAGTTGGTCTTCACTTCAAAAATTTGATTTTAACGAGAATAGCTAGAAAAAATAGGCAGCTTTTTCCATGGAAATAGCTGAAAAAGAAATATTAGTTGTGTTTCCCAACACTTTTAAAAAATGATGAGCATGAAAAACCAGTGATATTAGAACTTCAAATACACTATTTTGTTCTATTTTGAATGATCCGTCCAGTCGCGTGTAATAAATTGCAATAAGAACGAATTAGTAAGAACCAATCGTACTTATTTGATTTTTCTGCTATTCTCGTTAAAATCAAATTTTTGAAGTGAAGACCAACTCCGGAAAGAAATCTTCTTTCCATAAACAGATAGAGCGTGAAATTATTTATCGATTGGTCTGTTTTGTTTTCATATTAGCGCAAAACTCTTGGTTGGAAAATGCGAAATGCTGAAAAGCATTTAAATCTAGTTTGCATGGAAAAATCATTTTCAGGATGAAACATCTATATAAACAGATAGAGTCCCTCCTATTATAGAACATCATATAGTCGACGTCTCCTGCTATTTATACCACTATTTCAATCAGGTTTGTACCCTTTAATAATGTGAAAGAAAATTTGAAAACACAAATATAAGAAAAAATTTTAAAAAAAAATTGACTTCAATTTTCGTCGCCGACTGTTCATTATTACAATATTTAAGGCTCAGATTTTGTCCAAAGATGGGGATCTCTATACTAGCACAACCTTCAAAGAATTCTTTTTTAAATGTATTATGGCCAAGATGCAAGACTGTTATAGAATAATACTACTATATATTTCCTGTGAAAAAGTGTTTTTTGGTAAAAATGATGCAAAATTCGTGCTTCTTAAAAGTCTTGTATCTTGGTCATAATATATTGAAAAAAAGAATCTTTTGGAGGTTGTGCTAGTCTAGTGACCCTTCATCTTTGGACAAAATACGAGTGTTAAATATTATAATAACGTATATGACACCCCTTCAATGTTCCTAGAAAACGATTCAAATCTCCAGTATTTTAGATAGAAGTGACATTTGTTTTTCGATCAAAGTTATTTTCTGTCCACCTTCCATCGAACCAGCACATAAAATTCGATGAATAAATTCCTTTTTCAAAAAACCGCTTGGATATCCATGGATTCACCCATTTTATGTCAGAAATCGAAACCGAATGAAATTCTGATTTTTTTTGAAGAAGTCGAATGGAATATAAACTGTTGAATTGAACTCAAGTCTTTATTCGACTTCCCAAAAAATTCCCTCATTAAGTCTTGAACACGAGCAATAAAGCTCATTTCAATCTAGAATCCATTTTCTGTGTATCTTGTGCTCTTGCAACCTGTATTCATCTCTTTGTGTGAGACGCCTAGTGGATCAACTATCGCTTGTATTTTATTTTAAAAAAGTGTGATTCTATTGATTTATTTTACGATAGATAATTTTAGAGGAAACAGCCCCACATGCAGCTGTTTTCATGACTACTATATTCTCTTTCTACATAGTCAGTAGAACTTTCTAGCTTTATGCAGTATTTAGAGGTATCAATGTTTTGAATCATTTTAGTCGACACATGGATAGAGTTCTGTTATTGATATGTCACATGTTTGTTTCTTCGATTACATGATCTGCAACACAATTATAGGTAATTGTAGATTTGATGATTTATTACTCTGCTACATATCCTGATTATATGATTGATGTGATATCTCACTTTGTAAAACTTGACCGAATAACCACAAATCGCGGTGTTCTAATTCAAAGATTGTAGAATTGATCCAATCAAGTTTATGAATTACTAACTGCAGCACAGATCTGGAAATTGAGATAGACTTCGACTGAAATTAGAAGTTTGTATGCTCATTTTCCTAATATCTGCGTCTTCCATCAAACAGATGATATCTATAGCAGCGTTAATTATGCAATTTCAGAAACTACTACCATCACTGGTCGATAAGAAAAAAAACATTCCTTTCTATAAAACCCAAGTCTTAATATATTCTGTAGTTCAGTTTGAAGCTCACAAATTTCTCTAAATCGATAGATTTAGCATTTAGACACACGAAAACTTAAAATTTTAGGCGAGAAGTAGATATATTTTACTCCTGATAATGAAGGAATTCTCTTGTTTTTAGTATGAACAGAATCGAATGGACATTTTCTTACTCATTTCAGTCTCTGTTAGAGGTACGTAGTTGAGCTGTCTCAATTGATATATAAAGGAAT